TCCTCTGCCCTCAAGGACCCCAGTGCCTCTCCCACTAATGGTCCAGGAACTGTCTGAGGGAAAAGGATTTTCGGTGGTAACTTTTATTAGACCAGCTATATTAAACTAACCTGAGGAAGGGCACTTACTTAATGCCTGAAAAACTGTCCATCTAGCAGCTCTCCCAACTATATGCTTGGCCCAGTAAAAGATAAAACTGAAAATTCTTACCTTTGATACTATATTTCTTTTGAATATCCTTAAGTTTCCTAATGAAAAATCATTCTAACTATAGAATGCAGTATAGACCTGTACATTTTTTTATGCCAGATAGAGAAAATATCTGTCAAGTTAAACAGGTAAAACATAAAATGACTATATTGTGAATTTCCTAACGTACCAAAGTAACCATGAGGAAGCTATATTCATGCCACCTCCATCCTAAATATCAATGGCTTTTAATTAGACTTCAGTTGTTTGATCCTATTATTAACTGGTGTAATAACATGCAACTTTAGTTAAGACTGGCTTTGGTTCATTACTGACAAAAGTGAAAGTTTACTGTTCATCCTCAAATTACCATGCATACTAATATCTGTGTATATAGAATATCCAATTTAATTAAATTCTCCGAGAAGTCTCTTTTGCTCAAGATTTATTTTGTCTGTTTGTTTTAATCCTGAAGGTAATTGTTCAAAGTGGGGGACATATCCTACCTTATGACCAGCCTGAAAGATCACTGGACATGATTGACAAATTTATCTCTGGGAAAGGATGGAAGAAAAATGAACACTAAGATGTACTTATAAAGTAATATAAACAAGCTCTCTTTTCAAGTGGCTCACAAAAGATCTGAATGTTCCACAGTGAGAATTCTGTCATATGGAATGTTCACAGAAGTGAAGATATAATAAAGTGGGTAAAAATGTTCCTTGAGCTTTTGTTTATCCTGTATTCCTAAAATTGAGTGTTGGTAAAATGTTAAGAGAATACAAAGTATAGACCCAGCTTCCTAAATTTACCTACATTTTCTTTTTCCTTTTTTTAGAAGAATACATAAAATTGGGAAACATCATCACCAATTGAAGTCTTCTGAAATGAGGCAATTAAAATATAGTCTATTAAAGCCAAAAGATAATAGAATATTTCATAAAACCTCAAGAGTGTGTACATACAGGTAGCCATAGATACTAGAGTTACATGCTTTCAGTACGTAACTGATTCATCTACCTTCCTGATATGTAAATCTGCTAGTAAGTCTAACCTTTTAAATTTTAATTCATGGCTTTATTTATCATTAGTGACCTACCTACTACTTTTGTTCATGTCAAGAAAAGCTTTCTGATAATTTTCTTGTTCTGCATGGAAAGAAGCAAACATTCACACTGCTATTTGTATATTTGAGATGAGAGAAGTTCACAAGTCAAGGCTCAACTAATTCATGTGATAAGACTATTAGCCTAGCTCAGCAAAAACTAGTTTTACTTGATTCACCAGGTGTGAAATGGCTTGCACTCTCTACTTTTATATTTCTTAGGCTAAGAGCAGATGTTGCATGTCCTGGGAACAGTCGTGCCCTATTGTTCTGGAATGGAAAAAAAATCATGGGTGTGACAGATAAACATATTGCCCTTTCAGCTGGGGAGAGTGCCTGAATGCACGGCCACTTTTCTGCCATTGATCCAATGATGCAATCCTGGGACAACCATTCAGATGCAATTCATGACGACCTGGGACAAACTGTTACCACTTCTTATCCCATAAATCTTTTCAGAGTTTGTCCCAGGAAAGTGGACAATCTGAATGATTGTGCATGGTTTTAGGAAAAAAATGGTTCCTACTGGGAGAAATGTAATGTCTGTTTGCAACCAAAGATGGAAAGCAGACTGATATGGCCAAGTGCAAATTTCTCTGGGCAACGAAGTTTTCAGCTGATGCAGACCTGGTATACTAGACCTATATGCCACCTTCTCCATTTGACCTTGTGTAAAGGACAAAAAAATAGGGATAAATTGTAGCATGCAACTAGACTACAGTAACATAGGACCCTTGGCCAGATTATGGATGTGAACAGTTACATTTCAGTCTTTGCACGATCATCTGGTCCAGCCCCCCTGCACTAGGTGGGAAAGACAACTGGTGTCAAGTGACCCCAGCAAGTGACTGTCCAGTTTCCTCTTGAAGATTTCCAGGGTAGGT